ATATATATTAAACAGGAATAATCTATGTTTTAATCCATGCAGGAATTTTGATGAGTGTAACCACTAAAGAGTTTACTTTTGGATTTGGTTGAAAGATATTTAATTGACCAGATTAGGAAGTTATTTATTAACACAGCAAATAAAGAAGTTTTTCAGAATGTGCATCAGCTAAAATACAAGAAAAACAGCTCCTACCAGGGTCGACTGCTCTTCTGTAGTCTATTCTACTTGGCTTCTAATATGTCTCTTAGCAAAACTGGACTCTTTTGCCCAGGTTTAAAAACATAAATGGACATGACTCACACATCAGGACAGCGGTGAAAACGGAACCGAGCGTGTCTTACAAAACATATTTTATTGTAACTTATGAGATAACTTATCTCTCCTGATGTTCAAAGCTTTAACTGCCCAAAGATCTTTCACACACACAGTTTTCTCTTAAAAGTTTCTGGGAAACAAAATACAGAAAATATGTGAAAAGACTTAAATTCCAAAAAATTTAGGATGAAATAATCAGGATATTTTCAGGTCAGGAAGCCTTTGGAAAAAAAACAGTTCAGGGCAGTCAATGTTCAGACCAGAAGAAGCTGAAAAAAAGCTGTTAATGCTTCACGTGAGTACTGTACCTGCCATATAGTCCCACTACCAGCTACTGTATAGCCCATGTTCCTGACTGTAGCAGAACAAAAGGTCATAAAGCAAAGGTAGGCAGGATGGAAATGGGAGGGATTTAACCTTTGTCCCCAGAGTGAAAGTTAATTAATGTTATGAAAGTAGTTATGAAAGAGGGAGAAACAGAGGAAGTCTTGTGTTTCACGATTTTGTCACAGTTTTAATAAATGGAAAATCTTGGATTATACAACTTTGTTCATCCTGAGTGTGTGTGTGAACAATTTAGGTTTTGTTCCATAAAAAACAACTTTACGATTGAAAAAAACTACATAATTAATCTTTAAATGTTCCTTGTTTTGGGTGTGTGCTGCTGACGTCTTGTCTCTTGTAAAACAGATCATCTGCAATGTTTTTATTAAACCATTTCCAGTCCAAATAGACAAAGTTTCTCTGCTGTTCATTTKTCATCTATTTTCTTCCGTCCTGCAATGTTTTTGTTGTTTAATAAACTTGTTCTTTGCAGGGAGCCCATGCCTGTTTTATGCAGGTTGATGTATACTTCAGTTTTTTTACTTTGGTACTCATTCCTCTTGTTATTCACACTTCTGTTTTCAATTTAAATCTAGAGTATATTTTTTATGTTAAAACTTACTTTTTGTTTTTCTGTTCTTACTCTATATGTAATGCAGATACATCTGAATTTCCCCACTAAGGGACAATAAATTCTATTCTATTCTATGCTAATGATGATTTTTTACAATTATTCAGATAAGAACCTGATTTCAGGAGCTTCTCACAACTGCAGAGAAACACTTGATTTTACATCAGATTTAACTAAACCACTTCACACTCAATGAAGTTAAATTATCTCCAGATTTACAGCAGAATACCCATTACAGCAATAACCATGATTGAAGAACATCACCTAAACTATTAAAACACCTACAGTGAACATTTCCTGCACAGTAAATGCTGAAAGAGCATCACTGATGACTAATTTTCAATTATGCATCAATACATAAAGTAATGTGAGGGGAGTTTTACCTGATAAGAGTTTTAAAGTAGTAATACTTATCGTTTAGAGACACAGTTCATTTTGTTGCTAACAAAACACTGATGATAAATTTAATAAAAATAAATAAAAATTAGAAAACACAAAATTGTTTTTTTCCCCAGTAATTTGACTTGACAGAGAATTAAAATTTCTCCCATAAAACGACAAATGTATAATAAAAACATTACAGCGGCTGATTTTATTCTGGATTTTTAATTCTGCATTTCCATGAAAATAATAAAATATCCAGCTTTTCCTCGTTCATTGAAAAAAGAAGTTACATTTACAAAACAGCAAATATGTAAAAGGCAGCAAAAAATGTTTTTTTTTTAAATGACAGCTGCACTATTATATAAAAATATGTGTTCAGCCAATGAGCCCTTGTAATGTGGTCAGTTCTATTGAGGTCCTTTAGTAACCAGATTAGTACTTAATACCTCCTGCTTTTTATAAGACCCTGTCACGCTATAACATTTAGACTTATGTCGACTTAAATTAGTCATATAGGTTCATCTAAATGTTAGCATTACAGTATGTCAGGGTTCCAGTATCAGTTTTTAATTACATCTTCAATGTGGACATCTTTGGTGTTGGACAAAAKGTTTAAATTGAAATAGTGTGACAGGGCCTTTATGATCATAAACTCACTGATCTGCAGAGTCAGACTGCAGCAGAAAGTCAATGCTTCCCGGAGGCAGAGCGTCCTCTCCCTGACTCAGGACGCAGTGCAGGTAAGCAGCAGTGGCTTTCTCCCTCTGAATTTTACACCAGTAATGCAGCATGGCAAAAACTCGCTCCACGTGGCTAGAATGATCTGCTTCGATCTGCTCCAGCTTCACAGTTTTGATGTCCAGATGTCTGCCGATCGCCCTCCAGGAGATGCCGATTTCACGAGCCACAGACATCAGCTGCTTCTCTGTGACTAAACCTGCAACACAACAACCACAGACACGGTGGAGCATGCTCCAGGTTATGTTACTGTAAAACAACAACAACAACAACAACAACAACAACAACAACAACAACAATAATAATAAAAATAGTCTAAGTGGAGTCTGACTCACGGTTCATCTTTTTGGATGGAGTTATAACATCTGCTTCAGAAACTTCTTCTCTCGTTGCAGGTCTTTTGTTTGTTTCTAAAAAATAAAAACAAACATCCCTTTAATTAACTTGTGATAATGCTGAAAATTCAGTGAATTAAATACCATATAAAGTCCTTATTCTGTACCTAAAGACACTGTGTTGACATGCAGATCATTGACAAAATCCAGCATTGGAAAGGTCTCCTGAAAGTCTGGTTCCTTCAGCATGTATAGTAGTCTCTGTGCTGCTTCAGGACCTCTCTGAATGATGTGATCCAAAAGGTCTGTCACCTTTTCACTTGGAACTTTACGGCATTTTATCCGCTCGTAGCCCTCGTCAGAAAGAAGACATCGAGAATCTGCGCACTGCAGAACAAAGTCTGCGTCTGCTCGGAGAATCTTGATCAGCTTTACTTTGTGGAGTCTGAGTACAGCTGCAGGTTTCTCAGCCATGATGAATGGATGAAATGAATGAATGAATATTTCTGGACAATACATTAGAAATTTTGAAATGTTATGTTAGAAACTGCAATCAAAACAAGGCAAAAATCTGGTTGATTAACAGGAATAAACACATAAACGGCGGAAAATAAAGTTACTGTGGGACAAAGAGAAATATTAACTCAAATTTCAAAATACTTATAGTTTATGTCATATGATGTGTTCCTTCACTAGCAGAATGGAAACCGTTTTTCTGATGATGCGTTCACGCTCTTAGCTTATTACTCATTACTAAATGCTCCAAACAACCTCCCTTTTTCAACAAGTGCTGTTTTAAACAACAAGTAAAATACACGTCCTCACCATTCACTTCTACTACAACAACCGAGCGGTAGCAGACACAGCTAGCTGCCTGTTTGTTTTGTTTTTATTTCCCCCATTTCCATCAGCTCTGCTTCTTCTTCTGCTGCCGTCAAATAATGTTTCCACGAACGTCTCGTTTTTGTTTGTTGCCACCCAGTGGCTAAAATGTGTAACTGCAGCAAACTGGGGTGTTTTTGGTGACACCTGGTGACACTGTCCACACATCTTTTATTCAATGGCAGAGTTGAAAAGTAACTAAGTATAAATACTTTGTTATTGTACTTAAGTAGACATTTTGGCTGTCTGTACTTTACTTTAGTACATTTTATCAGCCAACTTTTTACTTCTACTCCTTACATTTTTACACAATTGTCTGTATTTTCTACTCCCTACATTTTTAAAAAAGGTAAGAAGTAGAAAGTCATTACTCCTATTTCATTCTGGCTCATTAATATATATATGTATTCTATCCCAATAAACTGTGCCTTTGAATTCAATTGTGTTTGGATGAGAAGTATAAATATATACCATTCTGACACAAAGTTTGAACACAATCCATCACAGCTACAGTATATGCCTTTAAACAAAGTATTTGGAAAATGTAACCTCTCATTTTTACTCAATATTTTGACTTTTAACCGTACATTTTATGTCAGAAATTTACTTTTGTTAAGTAAAAATAAAATCTGATACTTAAAGACTTTTACTCGAAAAATATTCTTAGTGGAGACTTGAACTTTTATCAAAGTAACTTTATGATAAGATACTTGTACTTTTACTCAAGTATCATTTTGTGATACTTTATACAACACTGTTCGATCCCCACTGTATTTGTTTATATCTTATTTAATAGTTTCTCCTACTTCCTCCTGGGCTTCTGTCCACACTAATACTTAAAATTTTATCAAAGTAACTTTATGATAAGATACTTGTACTTTTACTCAAGTATCATTTTGTGATACTTTATACAACACTGTTCGATAGTGACCCTAAAATAAAATAAAATAAAATAAAATAAAATAAAATAAAATAACAACACGATTCAAACAACGCCTTGTTTTAAAACATTATAAAAATTGCATCAATCATATGATACATTTCTAATTTTCTGTAACTTTCATTCATGATTATGCCTTTTTTCTAACTGCATCAAACACACACACACACACACACACACACAC